CTCTAGAGATGATGTTCACAAAAGACCATAAATCGAAAACCCATCGGCAGAATCAGTTGAAAAAATAAATTGCTATTAGTTCATTCTAAAGTTCCCTATAGAATTATTTTTTTCTATTTTTCAAAGTCCACTTCAATAAATACACAATACAGTGGCATGGGGCACTCTAGAGATGATGTTCACAAAAGACCATAAATCGAAAACCCATCGGCAGAATCAGTTGAAAAAATAAATTGCTATTAGTTCATTCTAAAGTTCCCTATAGAATTAGATACAAAAAGATAAATACTTTACTTGTCAATGCCCCTTTAAGTAAGCCATGCTAAAACAAAGCAATGCAGTTTAAATAATTAGGCATAATCAGGTATAACAGTGAAAATGCTGCTTTGGCCAAAACCTGAGTCAATGAGGAGTAGATATTTACCAAGAAGGGTAATGGTATGTTTCATGTCATAGCAATACAATTTCAATATGCTGTTGTTAACAACGGGTATGAATTTAAACCATTGACGTTACTTAAAACAACCAGCCTTCGACTGCAAACTTAGGTCAAATTTTAAAAATGTTAATATTTTCATTTAAATTGCCATATTCGGATATAAAAAAAGCAATAGAAGTACAAAAACAAACATGACCTGCATTGGATGAGCAGTTCTTGAGGTAGCCCTTGAAGGTCCGTTCATACTAGCGTTGCTTTGCGTTTCGGTGCCGATTTATCGAGTACTTTCTATCGCAACTCAACGCAACTAACCGCATTCCAAGTTCAAATGAATTTAACTTTCTTGCGACCCCGCAGTGCAGTGATGCCGCAATCACTGTGTAATGAGTGCAGTGCGGCAACGCAACGCAAATATTATGAACGGACCTCCAGCCTGAAAGAAATTACAAATTGCACGCGTTCAGTGTTTATACTTTTTTGTTTTGTTTCTTTTTTTAACGAATCAGATTATCATATATCAGGATACCAACTTCAAAGGAACGTCTCGTGAGCTCACTTCAAAAGAGTCAAATCTTAGCTCAATCGGTTTCAATGATAGAGTGTCATCGATCAGAGTCATTGGAAGTGTGTAAGTAAATAACAATAGATCATTTCCACACTTTCCAATAACATTTCATTTTTTTATTTCATTTATTTTGTCTAATTTGAACACACAAAACAGTTTCAAGCTCAGGAAGACAGGATAACCAAGAGTATACTAAAATACTGTCAAGTGGCACTCCAAACAATGCATAATGCATCTTGATTTTTTTTTTTTTAATAAGGAAACATCCTTACCCATGGTAAGCCGTCGAAGGCCACTGGGTAGGACGTTGGCTGTCACCACAGAATATTTAAAATACTTGGAAGAAAACACAATCTTGCTTGTATGGTCTTAAGGGGATATTACATCCCTAACCTAAAATTAACATGTTTTGTGTTCTATCTCAAAATTATCAACACTTTTTTGAAAAATAATATATGCATCTTAAAGCAAATTGTCAAAGGAACTCAAATTGAAATTTTAGTAGGCCAAGCGGTTTTTAAATTATGGATCAAAACAGTCAAAATATTATTTTGATTAATAATTCAAGAACCACTCGGCCTACGTAAAGTTTAATGCTATTATTTAGTTCCTTGGATAATTTACTATAAGGTGCATATATAAAGGTGTTGATAATTTTGAGATAGAACACAAAACATGCTTACTCTGTATGTTAAAAATGTCACCCTCTTTTATGAACCAAAAAGTGTTGAAATTTAGATATTTGGGACTTTTGCGATATTTGGAAATTTTCAATTTTTTCCTATCTAATTATTTTATTGTTAATTGGCAATTTTGAGAGCGGTCATGTGTATGACTGTGACGTCAAAAGTGAGATTTTTATACTTATTTCGGTTTGTGTATGGAAAAAGAAGACCTTAGTTATACTACGGTACCAAATATCTATTGGTTTACTTTTGGAGTACTAATTAACCACCTCCCCCCTCCACTTTAGCAAATGGAGTTAGGGAAAAAGGCTTAAGGATTTAAATTGTTGTAAGTGCACAAGATATTATTTCGCTTGAATCTTCCTTTAAATAAAAATTTTTCCTTTTTTTCTTTGTAGATGGGTTGGTTATGAACACTCTCAATATAAAGGTCGTCAGTATATTTTAGAAGAGGGTGATTATTCGACGTGGCGTGCATGGCAAGGCTCTAATGATCAACTATCTTCATTGAAGAAACTAAATCTAGTAATTTCACTACATGCATGCATTCATTCATTCATCTTTATTTCTATAAAAACAATACATCAAACAAAAAAACGCACGAAACCATATGGAGAAGCAAACAGAATAGCTATTGAAAGGCATGTAAATAAGTAGCCTACCTCATATACACAACTACAGAAAATTAGATAATGTACACCAATAAAAACACAGTTATCTAAACAGTAATAATGCACACCTGAGATGAGATGAAAATATTCATTTGGGAGCGCATGTCAGCAAAACATTTCACTCATTACTGGGATAGTACTCTGGCCAAGACACACATATGTTATGTATTCGTGATTTCCACGACTGTTCTCTTCTTTTTATCCTTACCTTCCTTTTGCATGTGTCTATGCCATAATGGTTTTATGTGTATTCAGGCAAATTGTGGGCAGTATGTTATTTCTGACATTGCTGTTAACTATTAATTACGATAAATATTTGAGAGATGTTTGGTTTATGGTATTTGGTGATAGTGCCTTCCATGCTGCTGCACCGCTACTCTGGAACAAACTTCCAAGAAACATCAGGAAAGCACCAACTATTCGTGTTTTTAAGTAATTGCTCAAAACTGAACATTTTCCAGCTTGTTTCTTTTGCTTGTCGTTGCTCTTTTGTTTGTTGTTAAATTATTATATATGTCATTTTATTGGCGCTGTGTTCATTGTAGAGCGCTTCTATAAATGCTTATTTTTTGTTTGTTTGTTTTTGTTTTGTTTCTTTTTTTGTATGTTTTCCTGTTCCTGAGTCTGACATCTGGGGCGGATGCAGGATTTGGCAGTAGGGGGTGCGTGCAAAAATTTAAGGAAATACTACCTGTAGATTGCCGGAAATGACACTTTTATATAGTAAAATTCATAATCACATCACCATTATTCAATTTAATTTTAAATAATAACCTCCAAACAAGGAAAAGCATATATAAAAACACGTTCAAATATTGGAAATAAAACATTGACTTAAATTATAAAATGTCAAATAATTTAAACACCGCCCAAGGTTACTTAACTTGCATCTACGAGCAGAATGTTAAAAGGTAATCTTTCTATGAACGTACATACAATAATAAAGTATTTTATATAAATACATGATGTTATAATATATTCAGGCCTATATATAATATATATATATATATATATATATATACAAAATAGAACAGCAAAACGAGGTGGTAAAATTTGGGGAAATTGTACATCTAGATTACCGGATATGACACTCTTATATAGTGAAATTCATCATCATCGATCTAATTAATCGCTGTGCTGTACCATAGAAAATACTACTTTACGTGCCGAAACCCAATCTTATCTTTGCACGCTTTTTCTCATACTTCTCAAATTATAATAAAGGCACGCGCACTTGAGTCGAGTATTATAGGTAATTCAGATGCCTGTGGATAGAGATACAGGTATCTTGCTATAAAATATGATGTACTCTGCTGTACAGCGCTCTTTCGTTAAAACCTGGGTCATTTATGCATTTATGTCAACAATTTTCAGGCATACCTTCTTGACTCACGAAAAGTGAGAGGACCAACACTTCCCCCTTAAAAAATATGTGAGGGAACGTTTATAGGGGGCGCCAGCGGCGGGGGCGATGGGCCGGGATCCCCCTCGTCGGGGAATGCTCCCCGGCCCCCGTCGGGGAGAGAAACCACATTTACATATTAGTAGACTATAAAATCGATTAAATAAGCCTTTGAAACCCCTAAATTGTCAACATTTCGGGGGCTTCGCTTTCGAGGCATTTAACGCGACGTTCAACCACGCCCACTTTGTTCACGCCCACTCCCCCCCCCCCGTCAGGGACCTCGGACGCCCCGTCGGGCAAATCCTGGACGTTTACCCCTTCCCCTACGATCTGCGCCCATGGGTGAATGGGAGTCCACCTCAACCCCAACCATGTTGGGTTGAGGTGTTAAAATTTAGAGAATATGAACCTCTGGGTGCCCGGAAATTGCACTCTGATGGACGTACCTTTAAAATCTTACCAATAATTCATTTCAACAATATAATACAACAATTATTTTTCGTAATACAATTTAGGAGGTGCGATATTACCGGGCATTTTGAAATAAAGGGCTTCAAAAAAGCCTCATTGAGTTATGCAGGGGCCAAATTTACAAATATTTGGATGTCACTTCAAAACATATCAAACGACTTCCCTAGAAATGTCAAAGGTAGGTGTTCAAGTTGTACTTAAGTAGAAAGAATAAGTTTTCAACCTATAATACATTCATGTGCGTTTGTATGTATTATACTCACCAATTGTAGGACATTGGAGAGACCCCTCAAATCACCCTCTACCAACACAACAACTACAGTGGAAGAGCAGTGAATTTCACCTATAAAATTACCAATCTAAGTTACTACAGGTTCAATGATGAGGTCTCGTCAGTCAAAGTCAAGAGTGGTGTGTAAGTTATTGTTTTCCACGTCATTTTTAAAATAGTGGCTTTCCGGACCCAAAAATGTGCCAACTTTACAACAAAACATTACTACATACTCTCTTAATGTAAAAGATTTCACTCGAAAAGAGTGCCTACAGGGACCACTCCAATTTCACTCTTTCTAGAGTGAAAATTTCACTCGTTTGCATTTAGAGAGTAAGTTTAACACTTACGTGCATAAGGAGGGTTGGGGTGGGGTTCTACTTTTTCGCGTCTCCTGTTAAAACGCGTAAATGTTTTGCCCTCTTTTTTTTGTAATTGCCTAAATATCAGTTACGCACCTATTTGTGAAAAAAATTAAATCGGCTGTGCCGTTTTCACGCTAATTAGCATAAATTATTTTGGCTGCCATTTTTAAATGGAATAATTTTTTTCCAATTTTATTTCAGCAATGTAAATGTATTTATGTTCTCCTAATTTGAGCCAATTTTAATTGAAAAAATCTTTTGGAAAAGTAGTTTTTCAATCTTTTTAATCCTGTGAAATGATAAATCTGTATTTTTTGCCGCCATTTTGAAACGGTAAATTTTTTAAATATTTTTTTGACTGATTTACGAAAAAAGTGGGCGTGGTCGGGCGTCGCACAAATTTCTCAAAAGTGTTCCAGGGGGAAAATACCTAAAAATATGGCTATTTATGGGTTTCAAAGGTACCGGGTTTTGGGTCTTCTTATATGTAGAAAATACATGTAATTTTTTTTCTCCCTTACGAAATGCGGTTTTTCTACCCGACGGGAGGCCAGCTCTTCCCGACGGGGCCCTGGCCCCCCGGCCCCCTGTTGGTGCCACCCATGAACACGTGTCCTGCCGATCCTGAGAACCATTTTTCCTCTATGAGCCCTTAACTGCATAAGGGGTAGTACGGTACCATAGTACCCAACATTTGGTTTTTCGGCTCTCGCATTTTAACGCCGCAGTATTTTTGGTTTATAATTTTTGTAATTGTCTAAATATTAGTTGCGCTTCTTTTGGTGAAAAAAATATTGAGATCGGCCGCGTCGTGTTCGCGCTAATTAACACAAATTAGCTTTGGGGGGCGGGGGGTGCAGAAAAAATTTTCAAAGTTTATTTAAGCAATGTTAATGTATTTATAATCTCCTATTTTAAGTCAAATTTCATTGAAAAAATCCTTTGTATTCTTTGTTATGAGGCAGCTTTTTTTCTTTCACATGATATGCCTACTTTTGTTAATCTTATTTAAGATTTTCATTCAGTGTACAAGCTGTCTCTTATACACATCTAAAATAATTACAAAATTCCGGTGGGAAGGTGTTTTTCTTAAAAACCCCCGTTATGCACTAAGGGAAGTGCAAGGTACGAGGACATTGAATATAGACACTGGCCCAGCCCAGTGCATATGCATGAGTATCATTATTGTGTTATGTAATTTGTATGATGTAAGAATAAGTACATAAATCTTATTTAAAGCTAAACCGTGTTGTGACATTTGAACCTCTATAGTTATACAAATTATTTTGTAAACCCCAGACTTCCTGTACAGGATGTAACCTGGGTCCATATTCATAAAACCTTGCTAAGTCTAGTTGGCAACTAAAAGTGACTTAAACTGCTAATTAAGCCTAGTTGGCAACAAATCGTTATTCATATGAAAATCTCACTAGTGCTAGTTTCCTGGCAAGGTTAGAGTTGTTCTAGAGTAACTCTAACTCACTAGTTGGCAACTAATTATGGGAATTTTATGTACTGGTTGCATTAATCTACATTTTAAAGAGGTAATTTCTACAAATTCAAATAGAAACTTCAGCCTAATTTGTCGAATGTTTTTTGTACACTGAACCTCAAATTATAACTGCTGCGTCATCAGTAGTACAAACTAATAAATCATTTCTGTCAGAATCTGTCAACCATATGTTGACTTGGAAAAAATAAGATACTAGTTCTACAAAGCTAAAGAATTATCACCTAGAAGAAGATATGAATATTTGACAATATCAAGCAAAATAAGAACATGCTTATTAAAAATATGCAGTAAATATGACTACATACTGCTTGAAAAGTAAGAAATATGAATGTATTAAGTATTTTAAAGCAATATTATTACAAGATCCTCTGTCTCGAATGCCCTTTGATTTTTCTTTAAATTTTAATTTCTATTAATCCACATTGGTGTACTAAAACGGGCCTGGGTGGCAACGGGCCTAAAGTGGCAACGGGCCGGGTGGCAAAAGGCCGGGTGGCAAAATACCTTGGTGGCAACGGGCCTAGGGTGGCAAAAGGCCGGGTGGCTAAAGGCCGGGTGGCAACGGGCCTAGGGTGGAAACGGGCCTAGGGTGGAAACGGGCCGGGTGGCAACGGGCCGGGTGGCAAAAGGTCGGGTGGCAAAGGGCTGGGTGGCAACGGGCCGGGTTGCAAAAGGCCGGGTGGCAACGGGCCCGGGTGGCAACGGGCCGGAACCCTAATATACCATGTGAAAGACTAAGCTGAAAAATGTCTAATTCGTATACGAATTTAATCAAGTTGGTGGGTCTACGTGAGTTTGTACATACAAAATAAAGCAAGTATGCATTGGATACGCATTTTCCTATATCATCACACGTTTAGAGCAATAATAGAGAGTTTGCGATTTTCACGTTGAACGCCACGGCAACTTAAAATCCATTTAAATTTGCCTAATTGGGCACTATTGTACCGTATTCTTTTGCCACTTACGTTGCCGTGGCGTAAATTACAAACTCTCTACTATATTTGTGGATGCCCTTTAATAGATAATTCTATCATTTTAAACTATTTTTGGTCAAATCTATTTTGAACCAAACCTTGTAATATTGCTTTAAGTTCGTTTCTATGTTGGTTATTCTTTGTTATGAGGCAGCTTTTTTTCTTTCACATGATATGCCTACTTTTGTTAATCTTATTTAAGATTTTCATTCAAGTTTTTAAAAAAAATAACACTACTGAACTGTGTCTTGGCCATCAATTATCCATGCTCCATGATTTAATGTATGCAGGAACTGAACACACATGTCAATCCATTTTATTTAATTGATTAATTCCATCCCACCCAAAAAGCACCCAACTCTATTTGCTTAAGTTTGCAACTAAATTAATTAAGCTATTTAGCGAGCTTTTTATCAAGGTTTTGTGAATAAGAAATTAATTGTCTGCTCCATGTTTGACAACTAGACATTTTAGCATCCAACTAAGGCTTGGTTGATAACTAACCCAGGCAAGTTTTTGAAATACGGTATTAACCTTTTGTTCCATACTACTAATCAGATCATCAAAGCTTGTGTATTTCTTTAGCTGAATAAATCTTTCCAGCGCCCGGTCTACAGTGGTCTAATACCCATAAACTTTTAATTATTGCCTGTTTTGATATTTGTTTGATTATTCCAAACTAACCAAGAAAATATTCTTACACAGTTGGATTCTGTACGAACATGCTAACTTTAATGGGAAACAGTGGGTAGTTACAGAAGGATCTTACTACAGTGCATGTTCATTTAGAGGAGAGAATGATAAGGTCTCTTCACTTCGACCAATCAAAGAGGTAAGTTTACGATCAATATATACAATCCTGTATCAATAACATTGTATATATTGGTTTTAAGAGTTCTATAAGTGGAATAAATGATATTCCCCTGGGGGAACTACAAAAGTTTAATTTGGGCCAAATTTTAACAATTTTTTTAATTAGAAAAATACAGTTATATTGGTCAAACTTTTGCCCAAAATCGAGCCGATTGGTATAGAAATGGGTCACATTTTCTCAGACAATTGGTATATGTATGGGCCCACTTTCAAATTTCCCAGCGGCAAATCCCTATGAAAATCAAACTTGAGTACCCTCGCCTTTCCCATGAAACATGGGATCAGTTTAGGGAACCAGAACTCGAGTTGTAGAGGTATTATACCAATGATATACAACTTAAAATCACATCAAGTTTATCATTCTGAAACACTGAAGCTATACAGTTTGTATAGGCCTAAATATCATGCCCATAAGCTGTATTCTTTGGAAGCCTTGTATAAAAAGTTAACAGGCCAAATAGGGATGTAACCAAAGATAATAGAAGATAGAGCAGCTTCCCAATATAGTGGAACATCCGTTCTAAATGCATTGTGGGTACACGGATGGCATTTTTACCCCGTTCGCGCGGCGGCGCTATATATCAATAATAAAGGCGCCTCTCATGTATGTTTGTTTCCTGTAGTTTCTCCATTTAGTCAAATTTTACTCCATTTGCGGGAGGGCGGATGTTACATCAATTTTAATGCAAGTACGCAAAACAGTTCATTCTTCTGCTATTTAAGTTCTTTTGGTTTTGGTTTAAAATTCCATGTAATTGTAAATTGTATTGTTTTAGCATAAATTTACTGTATACAGTGGCATATCTAGGGGGGACGCATGACCCTCCAACAATTACTCGCCCCCCCCCCCCAAATCACTTGCAAGTAGTTAAAAATCACTTAAAATCACCTTATTTTGCGAGGCAACCCTGAACTGATCGTCGGGCCACCTTCCCCCACCCACTTCAACTTCGCACCCCCAACCCCAGATGTGTATAAGAGACAGCCCCCATTCAGCACCCTCATTTCAGGAATTCTAGATACGCCAATGACTGTATCAGACGTCTGTGCATAATGTATATTATTGGAAAACAAAAGGTTTGGGGTTGTTCTATAATTTAATTATATATTGTATCATAAATTATACAAAGTTGTGCCCCCTCCCCATTTTATCAACAGAGTGAGAGATGCGACCAACACATTGTTAATGTTAAGGTTAATTTAAATCTGTACTTTCTTCTTAGATTTCTTATTATTTTTGCTTTAGCCATTTCACCCGACTGAGGTCCTCAGCATGGAGTTCGACATCGCAGCTGGATTACTCAACCAAACTCCTTCCGCACTCGTCAATCTCTCGCAACGCAACGATACGAGTACCGATCAGCAAGCTTCCTGGAGCACCAAACGTATCGCAACCACCACCAAAACATACGAGTGGCACTGGGAAAACAGCACAGCAATTAGCGTTGACACCGAATTCAAAGTAGGCGTGCCCCTCATTGGAGAAGGAAGTATCAAAATAGGTGTGGCGAATACCTTTGCCATCGGCCAAGACAGAGGAGAGCAGAATACCCAGTCTGATGAATGGACCTTCAACCTTCCAGCTACTGTGAAAGCGGGAACCATCATGAGGGCTCAGGTGAACATCCAGCATGGCAAGATAGATGTCCCGTTTGTGGCTGTCCTGAAGAAAGGTTATCGTCGATGGACGGAGAAAGGCACTTACAAGGGAACGCAGAGCTTTAACTTGCAAGTTGACTACAACGAAACACCTCTTGAAAAATAAAAATGCGCTGCAAGTAACACAATTATAGAAGTAGACCTTTTCTACATGCTTTAGTTTAAGCTTCTTTTGTAAAATCGCTGAAATAATACTTCTTTGAATAATACTAAAGTAGTAGCAATAGTAATACAGGCCTAAATATATATGAAGAAATATGTTTGAAATTTAACTTAACGTACGAACTACAAAGTGCTATCAATCACCTGTCCTTATTACACTTTCAAAAGAATACACCCGACTAGATTTTGGAAACATATCAAGTAAAAATTCAATTCTTACAATTCGGTGACATTGTAAGTTTGTGACTCCGCTTTTTTCAATTTGAAAAGCCAAATTTTTAACATTAGGCCTATTGCATTATATGACTTACTAAACTATTTTTTTTCTTCTTTTGTTTCATTACACATTTAATACTTATCACAATGATGTAAATCACTTTCAGGATTTAACGCTAACAAAACGTTTCTAATTTAAGTTTAAATTAACAAAATCTGGATGTTTCCCATAACGGTATTTACTAATATATGTAGGCTGAGACTAATGTAGGCCTTTTACCTAGTTTACCAAGACTTAAAAACATTTTATAACTAATCTTACATTTTAGATTTCGTCATCATGAACCAAATACAGATACGTCTTTAAAAAAAATGATTATGGAGAAGCTAACCATCTCACCGTTGTTGGTGACTGTTGAGAATCGTAAGCTGTAGCCCGGTGTAAAGGCCAACTCAGACAGCGTCGGCCGACGCAGCCCGACCCGATTTATCGTCGGGGACAGTCTTAAGCCGTCGTGAGAAATATCTTGGAAATAAACACGTTTAATATTCTACTACGCGACTGCCCCCGACGCACACCATCACGTCTGCGTTCAACTCACACAGACCCGACGCGACAACAAATCGCGTCGGGCTGCGTCGGCCGACGCTGTCTGAGTTGGCCTTAAGTTATCACCTCGTGGATTGTGCGCATCATAAATCCACATTATTATTATTATTAGATGTCAGCGTTGTCTAAAAAATGAGATTAAAAGATTTTGTTATGTAAGTTAATGGCATTAGGCCTATTATAAATACAAAACTGTAACTTTTTCAAGTGGGACACTTGTATTCAAATTTGAATACAGTGCGCGTACACATACTCCCAAAATGGACATGATACAAGTATTTAGCCTGATTAAAAAAAACAAAAACAAAAAACCACCCTTAACAGTCATTTTCAAACTATGTTTATTAATTTTTCTCCTGTAAATGACTATTTTTTAAAACTATTTTATAACAAGTTTATGCTACCCTAAACGAGCATGTCAAGTTAAGTAAAATCATACCCTTTTTCCTGATTTCCACTCTTTTTTAATACCTAAACAATGACATTCTAGTACATTGCTCACCTTAAAAAAATACACTTTTTACTTTTTTCTTCTTTTTTTGACGATCATCATATACACCTTTGTGTACTGAAGTGCCACCGAGGCATTCTTGCGTATCTGCCATATGCGTAGCGTTTCCGACGGCCCTCTCAAGCTGACGTAGAATTTCTTTATGCTTTAAAATTATTGTTATTATAGAATAGCTACAAGTTGCCTTTAACAGCTTTCTAGAGATAGGTATTTTTTGTGTTGAGAGATTTGAAAATGAGTAAAAACTAGTACTCGTATTTACCCTTGCAGAAAAAAAAACTTTGAAAGTACACAACGATGCAGAAGTTGCATTTGCATAAACCATATAATTATCAATTAATTAATGATTATGTTAAACATAAAGGAAATCCTGCTATAATCGGTATATTCAATACAAATGCAAAAGGGTAAATGAAGAAAAAGACAAGTAACATGATAGAATAAAACATTTTGCTTACGCTATACCTACTGTTTCTGTGTTCATTTGTTTTGTGTGTCAGCTGTGACGGGGAGGTGGGGGTCAGAAATTTCAAAGGGGCCACAATCTGGTGATTCTCCATAGATGCCTGTACAAAGTGTTGGTTTATTTGGTGGCCCAAAAGGGGCTGGGCGTCTGATGAGGGTGGGGGGAGGGTGTGGGTGGCTCAAGCCAACGCTCCATCCCCCGGTTACTCCCCTGAAGCAATGCACAAGGCCTATGCATAATAATTTACGTGAACAAATGCATCGATACTTATTGTAGAAATATTACTAGCAGTTCCTAATTACAAGCAAAGAAAAGAGAACTTCGTGGAATGTTCGTGTCTCATCCATGATACACTTCATCAGCACTGTTGTTAATTTGGATTCCTGGAGCCCGGTGGGGGCCCCCCCCCCCCCCCCCGGGAAAATCCTGGTGCCACCTCTGGACCCCACGCCCAGAGAACCCCCCCTTGAAATGACCTGGCTACGGGCCTGCAAGGCCTATGCATAATAATTTACGTGAACAAATGCATCGATACTTATTGTAGAAATATTGCTAGCAGTTCCTAATTACAAGCAAAGAAAAGAGAACTTCGTGGAATGTTCGTGTCTCATCCATGATACACTTCATCAGCACTGTTGTTAATTTGGATTCCTGGAGGACATTTTTTCTGCGAAATGCATAGATAACTTCCTTATACGAGATTAAGCAAGACCTTTGTCAACATTATATGAGCATTCAAGATGGTGCTCATCAGCTGAATAGAGCTTTCCGGAGTGTCCATCAAAATTACTGACCAATCACAACAGGGCACGTGTTGTCTCACAACACACTTGTGTGCGTATGTTTTACACTGTCGTTTTGAGGACCTTAGCAACAATATACCTTAGCAACAATATCTAAGGGGTGGGCTTAGCAGAAATATCTATTATGATAACAATGGCTGAAAAGAAATAAGTATTTGTCTATGAAATTAAAGGAACTTTTGTAGAAACTTGAAAATAGGAATTACTGCAGGGCCGTAGCCACAAGAATTTAAGTGGTCATTTCTATTAATCCGGGGGGCCAGGGGGACGCCAAGGACCCCCGGTTGGGGTTCAGGGGCCGGAGACCTGGGAAAGAACTGCTATTTTTCCATTGTATAGACCTACACCAATTTTAATGATGTTTTGTAGTAGTGATCTAATACATAGTTAATAAAAATATGTTTTAAACTAACATCAGGGCTGTGATGAAACAAAACAATAAAAACACTTTGAATTCAAAACAGGCAGGTTTATTCAAGAGAAAGCTTGTTACTCACAGCATTGTTGTTATTTTAGTTTTTTGCCTTCTGACATTGACAAAAATCTAAGATTAAATCTATGAACGAATAATATTTCTATGGTACACTTTCAATGAATGCATGCAGGCGCGGGTCCAGACCTCAAACCGTTCGCACTGGCGAAGGTCAGGGTGAGAGATAAAATGATATTTAAAAAGAAAATATAAAGTGATTGCAGTGCCTGGTGGTCTGGCAAATTCCAACTTTTTCTGTCAGAAATGCCACCTACCTCAACCAAAGACAAAAGTAATAATACATTTTTGCATTGTCTGACTATTAATTAAAAGGGACTGTAATTAAATCGGCTGCGCGATGTAATGTTGAGTTTTTTTTAATTATTATTTTGATTTATATTTCACGATGTAGGCCTGTGGTTAATCAAAAAACGATCAAAAACGATATACATGTGCGTTGATTCTTATAACCTTATTAGAAGGCATATGTAATTTTATTATATTTCGTTATTTTGAAATCACAAAAGACAATTATGCATATTTAATTAATTTCCTGATGGAAGTAAAATCACACCAATGAAGTTTGGTTTTGGTTCATGTACATTTGTTGAAAGAATTGTATTATTCTGCTTCATTTAAGAATAAGTTATATGATGGCCAAGTTGTTATCATAATATGAATTTTAAACTGTAATATTTTTAACTAAGACCATTCAACAAACAACATAAAACATATACATATAAAAATTCTTATGTTTAAAATTTCCTCGTCGGTGCATATATAAAACGTAATTACCTAACATTTGGATATCCGAGATTGACAGTCAATCAAAATTCTCTGTACCATCTATGCAAATTTAACGAGTGGACTTCCTTATGATTTAAGAAAATATGAATGTATATTGAGCTGCGCAAAGTTTAGAAGTTTAAAAGTTAAAAGAGAGGACTTCTTTATGTTGTGGTCATATTGGACTGTAATATTTATTAAAGACAATTCAACAAACAACATAAAACTTATCAAAATTATTGGGTTAAACTTTGTACTCTGGTGCATGAATATATCACATTTTTTTTGGAATATATGAGATTTACATGACATTTGAGAATTGTACTGAATATAAAATCTTAAATATTTTACATTTTAATCAGTAATCTATTAGAAATACGGGGATTGTTGTACAGCCTTCGGTCATCCTGCTGCAACAATAAAACTGCGATCCAACAGGCAGTGAATATTCCATTTTAATTTAGTGTAGATGTTTTTTACATGTTTTTATTTTATTTGTATTCTTTTTATTTTGTATGATTCATTTGTTATATTTTCCACAGATAAGTGAATGCCTGAACTGATATTTTATGGGTTTCACTACTTTCTATACAAAAGAGATATAAGTCTATTGTCCGACTGTGTGCATTGAACATATGACGACGACGATAATGTCGCCAAATTCCAAACCTTGACACTCCACATCAATTAATTAATCTTGTACAGGAGCCTGTCATCACTTAGTTTCCTCCTCCTCATCATCATCTTCTTAATATCATAATTATTAATTGTCCATAGTAAAGTAGGGAAAAAATATGAATTGTGTATTAAATAATACGTTTCATAATGCACGAAATTGCATTTCAAAGCATCTAAAAAACAAAAACAAAAAATTGAAGGAGCCGAAGACTCCGCCCTCCCCATAGCTAAAATTTGTCTTCCAGTGACAGAACAAGCCCTAGCTCTCTTCCCATGACCACGCCCACCATGGGAACCCGTCTGTGCGGTAGTCAGGGTAAACTCTGGATCCGCGCTTGACATGTATTTAAAAAACGTGATTAAGGTATATTTACAGTATATTTATTTATAGAAAATAATGTTGCATACTAGAACTATCAGGAATAAAATTATGGTTTTCTTGTCAGTTTACAACAAGGAAATGAATATAAGTCCTAGGCAAGTGTATAAGAGAACCTTTAGTCTGATTTTCTACAAAAGCTCACTGTATGTAGTAATTGACCTACTTGATTGGATAAAAGCTAAGCCCACACAGACACTGAATTTCAACTGAAGAAAAAATGCATCCTAGTTTCTAATCAATCATTATAAATCTTACACTAAAAGTAAGAAAATAATGTACACTATCATTAACCATTCACCCCAGAGTTTACAGACTTGTGGTTCCTGTGTTATGTCGAAAGGGAGAAGGTTTTGTCTAAAAAAAAGAGTGGAATTTTGGTTTGGTGGTTAAGGCGGATTCCTTCTAATCCAAAGGTTCCGAGTTCAATTCACTATTTTGAGGGGAGCATTTATTCATCATCATTAAATATTCGAGGAAGACATTATTTTTGTACAGTATATATAGGTTTCCTATAATTAAAGACAGGGGCGGATTTAGGGGGGGCGGCCCGGTCCCCCCTTTTGGGAGGTAAAAAAAGAAAAAAAAAAAGAAAAAAAAGAGAGAAAAAGAAAAAAATGATGGCCAAGAATGCCTCAAATGTTATGTTCGGGCGTCTAGAACACAAAAATTTCGCGGGGGCATGCCCCCAGACCCCCTACGACAGTGTTGTCTCAATCGGCCCAACTTTCGGCCCTCCTTCCGGCCCCCCCTTTTGGACATTTCTGGATCCGCCCCTGAAAGACCACTTTTCTTTGGTCCCCTATTAACAAATTCTGTATATCTTATCTTTATTATTCTAATTAGAGACCAAAGCTGGTAAATACCATGGCAACTCCGGTCCCAAAAGTGGTCTTTAAGTGGGGAGAGACCTGTACTCAATAAATTCCCCATCGCTTTATTTTCATCACGTCATTTGGGAGCATTTAGTTTAAGACAAAAAATTAAACACCTTGGGCCCACATATTTTATTTGAGGAAGATGTTTACAGGGGGTCATGTAGGAAGAAGGCACTAAGGCAGATCTGATTAAATAACTTTGTAAGTTTAATGATTTCATCAGTTTTTGTTTGGTTAATTGATTTAAATTTCCTTTACAATACGATACTGATGATGCTGACTGGTAAACTGTTTACATCTTTATTTTAGTTCCATTTTAAAGGAAATCCAAATCACATTGAATGATTCCATTGATTGTGTGTATATATGGCAGATGTAACTAACCCCCGATTATGGTAACTAATTAAAAATATTGTATTGCAAGACTATTGGCCTATATCATGAATAAATTTGAGAGGACCAAAGAATTTAATTGATTTCTTTTGCAAGACTTTTATTTTCTTATTGCCTTATTGTTTCAGCTGTGCAATGTCATTTTATGTAAATTTTAAAAAGACATTAAATATAAAATTTCGACAGACAACTTTCATTTTAATTTTATAATTATATTTTGTCAAAATAGTAGCTTCTGCTTTTTAGACAATGCATTGTGTAATTGTTCATTGTTTACAAACACCACCTACAATGAGGGTGGTATGGACACAACATGTGTCCATACTGTATACAATACAACATAATTAATAATGTGCAATAATGAATATAACTGTTTGACAGTATTTCATTTTCCTTTTAAATTGGGAATATATTAATTACACTTATTAAAAATATGCAAAGCATAATTTACTCTAATGTTTTATAACACACCTATATAGATTCCTGTAATTTGATTAGTGGATTTCGTATCATGTGACAATGGTTATTTACCCCATGTCGTCACTCATCATTGAAACTTATTTTCATCCGTGCATTTTCGTTCCATCCGTTTTTGCCCATTTCACGGTGCCTAGAATATGACTCCAACCTACTACAATCTTTTGATTGGTTAAAGACATGCTGGACTGTTCTAAAAAGGGTAGATTTTTTTCATAAAATATCAAATGACAAGAATCTACTTTAGGCATGTTGTAAAACAAATAATGAATTTAAGAAAGAATATTTTCATGAGTTGACAGACTGACTGTTCCATTCAACTTGGCTCCGCCTCGTCGAATGGAGCAGTCAATCTTTCAACTCATTAAACTATTCTTCCTATTATGCTCATAAAATCTATTAGTATTTGTATACTAATAGATTTTTATTTTCCCTTATAAGTTATATCAACTTTTTAGTGTAAATTAAAATTTTAGCAATTTAATCTCATAACTACAATGTTGCATCTTTGAAAAATACATATGAAATACTTGATTTAGAATGATTTTTTATGCATAGAGACAATTGTCTTAGATGCCCTATAGATTTATAAATACAGCTGAACTTGCCTAAGTCGAAATGAAAAATTCTTCAACTTAGATAAAATTTAACTTACAGAATGGAAAATACAACAATTTGGCATGTAAAATAAGATAAACTTGGAAATTATTCGAGTTGGGCACGTTTAACTGTAGTGCATACATTGGTTTGCACATTGGGACAATTGTGTTATGGTAGTCAAGAGTACAAAACATAAGCTAGGAGGGGTCAACAGCGTATGTGAAATGATGACCTAAAATCATTTTTTGTGTACTTTAGGATGGCAAGTGACACAGAAAAGAGTATGTTTTGTACTTTCTTAAAAAATTATGACCCCTTGTGCCTCCTATAAATTTATTTAATTATCGTCTTTCTTCATGTGAGCATAGAGTTCTGTTTTGTTATTTACAGCTTCTAGTCTCCCTGCAAACTCTTCATGCCTCATGGTATTGACTACTTTTATCCGACTGGTCCATAATGACAGCAAGGAGACTGGTCCGCCTTAAAAAAAAAAAAAAAGTTTAAAAACATAAAAATGTCTGTTCTAATTCTTAATTAAAAGGTAATATTAAAGAAACTTGTGAGGCTGTATTATAGATAATCAGTCTATGGTTGTAAACCCAGTAAAAGTTTGTCAAGTCAGCATAGAAACTTCGGTATAAAGCCCAGCACTCACTGTGCCTGAAGACTCTTGCGATTCTATGGAAAATGCAACTCCACAACGCGAGATCTACGGATTGTTTTTAATGGCAAAGCGTTCAGACTCTCAGCAGACGGTGTTGAGTTGTCTGATGCTCACAGGGAGCGAAGTGGCATTTGTCGGCCGGCAGTTGTACGACAGTTGTAGGACGAATTGAGTGCCCAACTTAAGTTTTACTCAAACCTGAAAATACCATAGTCTAGTACTGTATAATCTAAGGAATATCTCTCATGCATAAGAGAAGTAAGGGAGCTGGCCACAGATAGAAAAGTGTGGAATCTCATTATTGAGGGTGTAAATGCTATGTCTTGAGACGACGATTAAGCAAGTAGAAGACGATGAAGAGGATCTATAGGCAAAAACAATGAAATTTACCTTTCTGTCTATCTCTACTTTCATCCTTTGTAATCTTCTGCTTTTTGATTGGTGGAGTGCCCTCTATGTTCCCCAAATCTGTATTTGATAGAAAGTCCTGTTTCTCTCGATGAGTCATGCTTTGCAACCTAAATGAAAAAATGAGCAGAAAGTAGAATGGTCACAACAATGATTATTTTAAGTGCTATTCATATGTACATATATCATCCTGAAAAATGTAAACATCCTGAGTGGTATTATGTATGCCTTTGCTTTAAAGACAAACATACGGTAGCCATTGACATGATATGGGCCACATCGGTCTTGGTGTATGGTAATGCATTGCCTCATTTAAGTCCATTTCATACCCACTAACTTTTTAAGTACGCCAAGTCGATACTCTAAAAATTTAAAATGGATCTTTTTTTTATATTTCTTTTACATTCAACACACAGAAATGGATCCATTTGGGGCTAATGCTATGCAAAAAGAAGAGGGAAGCATGGTACTCCAAAATATGCTATTTTTGTATTCATTTTATTTCCATGTATCACATTAATATTGTCAAGCATTTCTAAACTTAAATCTCACCCCTACCCAGCTCAGTGCTTCACACGTCGCATGGCCCCCTACCTAAATTTTTCTTTTGATCTACCATGCAACAGCAAGCAAGCATGCCAATTTCAGGATGGAACACTTTTCTTTGCAAAAAACTGTTGTATGCCAATATACAGTCACGATACACCTATACATGGTCAAGATGTGATGTCATCATGACCATATTTAGGCATGTTGTCAAATGTTTCTGTCAAATAAAACTTTGACAGGGATTTAGGAAGTAGACTATTTCTTGAATCCAGGATTTTCAAAGTAAAACTCCATTCTGGTTGTTTACCTGTCTAGATCTTTCCAAGCCTTTTCTGCTTCACTGGCTTTCTCTGTGCCCTTTGCTGAGGACTTGTCCATTCCCTTCTTGCCGTTGGAGTCACTAGACGGCTTACAGTCGTACAAGCACTTAAGCACTTCTTGATGCGCAGGAGACGTATTACTGTATGCTTTTATTAATGTCTCAAGCTCCGCCCACATCTGTCGATAATGCTCCTCCCTGACGATGATTGACAGAAATGAAAAGTAATCAATTATTCGTCTAAAACATTTCATATTGGCAGTCTAGCATCTTAAAAGTAAGCCTATAATCATCATACTGCCTGTTGACAAGGATTCATCCTGACCAAGCCATGCCAATGATTAGCTGTGTTGTGTAGTTTCATTTTGTCACACTGCTACTTACTTTTTTGGTGCTTTACCCCTAATACCTGGGGGAAGGGGTATTGGGTCACCCTTTGCTTCTATACCAACTAGGTGAAGGATAGACTTCTTGCACTCAGTGATGTCTTCCTCATCCATCACAGGTTTGGCAATCAATGTCGGTAAGGGGTCAATGTGCTAGAAGATGAAAACACATTCACAAGACAAACTATTAATCTTAATAATAGTACAATAAAACCTGGCCACGTAATCTTTATTTACTTTCTTGGCCCTAAATGTATAAACATGGATAGGCCTACCAGGTAAAATATGAATAATTTAGAATGGAATAGGTCTGGTGCTCTGGCATAATTGTATAGTATAAAATATCAGTGAATACTAACCGATGCCATGTTGAAGATGATAGTATCACTAATTACCATGGGCCAAAGTCTGGTCTGCCTTTCAAGTTGTTCTTTTGCTATTAAATTTAAAAAAAAATCAACATAAAGCCCTGTACAGACTATTAATGTGACATGCCTAAATATAGTCATGATTACATCACATCATGACCATATATAGGCACATCATGACTATATAAGGGGATACAACAGTTTTTTGTCAAAGAAAATGTGATTATCTGGACAGAGTTTAATATCTTATCAAGTGGATGTATTGATGGACATTATATTTACAGTATACACATATTTTAGCCAGACTACAGTATTTTACAAATCTAATTACCTTTAATGATAGGTAATTCCTCATCATGACTATCTGTGGTGAAGGGGGCAAGGCGATTGTCCTTCATGAACTCGCCAAAGTCAGTAATCCTATAATCCGTCACCCTCCCCCCGCAGCCCTCGCTAATTGACGGCGGGTCTTCCAGATATGATCGTGAGGTCGACAGGCAATGGATGAAGATTTCCCCACCATGACTTGTCAACATATGCGACATGACCTTTGCCCCAGCCTTGCGTGGCTGCTCAAGCATGACCTGGCGGCCATTCAGAAGAAAGTTTGTCAGGCATAACGAAGGCCTACTGTTGACCTATGGAAAAAAAGTTGTAATACTTCATTCATTATTATACTGAAGGTGTACTAAAATATGGATTTCTTTAGCAATACAATGTTATTAAGGCCAGCCAGGAATTTTCAAAACATGGTTGAAAATCTTGAATATTCAAGATCATCTCCCTATTGAGAAAGGCCAATTTCAGTCCATGTTTAAACACTATGTTTAATCTCACTTAAATTAATTATTTGAGCCGATATGAATTTCACATTAATACTCACATCTACTGGAGAAATTCTATATGCACCCGTGCAATACAGCAATTCTAAAAAAAAAGAGGATACGGAAATGTACTTGACACCGTAAAGAGCCAGGATGCGTAAAACAAAGTTTATTGAAATGTTGTCATAATATACAGTTATAAACACAGTGCTGTACATACAGCAATTGCTATGTTTACGTTTGAACATCTTACAGACTAACAAGTACGTCACTGCAAGGTTACAGCGAGTGGTGGTGGAGGTGACAATGATGATGGCAACAATAACAATAATATTAATAACAATAAAAATTGCATTTGATATTACAGATCTATCTTAGCCTCAATGTACTTTCACAAAAGTAATAAATTGCTTCCTCACTAGGGGTTGGAAGGCACTGGTGGAAGTTGTCTGTCAGATGTGAGTAGGCAAAGCAAACTAAAAACAGAAGAACATTAAGTACAAAAATTAGAGATAGATAGATAAATCATCATTTATAGGTATACTTGCTGAACTGACCATTAGACATTCCTCTGGGTGAGCACCATTTCAGTATGATGTTGTTCTCCTCTTGACCGAGGACTTTCAAGGATGTATCACCACTCGACGAGGCACTTTGGGAAGTGCTCTTGCGAACTTCTTTGTGGCCGTCTTTATGATGCAGCAACTCGACATCGTAATTGGCTGAGCTATTGGAATTTTGTTCTTCCTGTTGAATCGAAATAAAAACATTGCAACAGTATTGCACATAAACAAACATTCAATGGATTATAATATTGTCTCATGGAATTTTAAAAAAAAGTATTTTTACTCTCGTGGTTGTGTGTGCCTTATTTAAGTAGGCATGTTTGAATAATAGTGATGCTATGACTTATCCGACATGGGGACAAGCTATCTGATGGCGGATCTGACAAGGTATAACTGAGACCAGTGAGGTCTAGAAGTGAAACTTTGATGGGTGCCTAGGAGGCTAATACCTGGTGTTTTGAAAAAGTAGGAAATTTTGGGCCATTTTGTTCCAAGACAACATATTAGCGCACAACATATCTAACAATTTTCCCCTTTTATTGGTACTCTGAGAGTTGTGGCTGATGAGCTGAAATTTTGCATGTTTTATGATGGATTAAACTCACATTCCCAGGCCCCATGCCACCACTGGGTATGTCTGGCGAGGGGTATGTGTGTGTTGAAAGTTATTCTTTGTATGGTCTTACCTTCATTGGAATACCAGTGATTGTTGTCATAACAAGGTTGTGATGTGCCTGGACTAATTTACAAAGATGACTAGCCAGATATTGCGCAGACGGTACCGAGATCAGTCTGAACGACAAATTTGAGGAGACATTCTGGCGTGTTTTTGGGGTTATTGCTGTTGAAGAGTCTTCAGGGACATGTACGTGAAAGACAGTAAGTTCACAGTGATTTATCGAAAGAAGACTGAAGAAAAAGAAATATTTTTGCAGTAATTCATAATTTTTTACATCTTATATGAAACATGCAGGAATATTATATAATGAATATTACATATTTTAGTTAATACATTAGAATCATTAAATAATATTAATAGCAACAACAATAATAATAATAATAACTAGCAATAATATGATCCACTAAATAAGAAAAAGCCTTACTTGTCGGAGCCAGCAGCCATTTTGTTATGCTGTACTATTGCGTCTTGAACACTTTTCTTCAGAACCTCAACATGGGTGTCGCTGTCACATCTAGATGTGTGTTTTCGGAGTGCTGTATACTGTGCGGAAAACTAAAACAATTTGTGGGATGCTTGGAACTGCTACCTTGAATAATTACTCACTACTCAAGGCACACCATTTTTAATAATCTCTTTTTTGGAATGGCACCATGAGCAACGATTGTTGAAATGACACCATATAAGTGTAACAAATGATTGATTGATCGAGTGTTCATAAATTAATTAAAACTTTTTACTTTGTAACTGAAGTGAAGCAAATGATTCTGCCTTTGTTCGATACGCTTGAGGCGACATCCGTCATCGAAGTACGAATCTGGTGCTGTTCCTCACTGCATTCACACAGCACTTCCACTGCTGCTGTAAGGCCGTGAATTATACTACAATCATCATCACTAGCCTCAGGATCTGCTGGACCTAGCTCAGCAAAAACATGCATCAACTGTCAAAGTAAACAAAACCTGAACATTAAAAAATGTCAATATTTTAATAGCTTACTTTGTATATTAATTAACTTTCAATAAAAAATTAAAATTAGAAGAAAGTTTTTGATCTAACAGATGCATATCAAATTGTTTTGATCTACGTCTCATTAGAAATATGATTTTTTAAATTAATATATATTATATTTTTACCACAGTCAATCCACAGGAATCATCATCTACACCAACATTATCTATCATTATCATCATTTGTCATCATCATCTTCAATATCTGTCATCATCATTATCATCATCTGTCATCATTATTATCTGTCATCATCATCATCTGTCATCACCATCATCTGTCTTTATCATCATCATCTGTCATCATCATCTGTCATCATTATTTTCATCATCTGTTATCATCATCATCTAGCATCACCATCATCATCTTCTGTCATCATCATCCTCATCATCATCATTATCTGTCATCATCATCTTTATCATCATCACCTACTATCATCATCATCACCTACTATCATCTTCGTCATCATCATCATCAACAGTAACATGTACCGGTAGTTATTCTTTTTTTATAACATCAACAACCACATCATCATCATTCATAATTTATGCCTTACATCACTTAGCTGTTGATCTGATTTGCTCCATGTATTCAGGAGTCTTGCTTCTGTGTCTGCTGCAATAAATCGTATCTAGAAATTGAAAAACAAAATGTGCAACTTGAAACTTAGAGTACGATTCTCCTCCAAAAAAATTAAATCTCAGAAATAAAGTGAATAATAAATTGAAAATAATATAGCATTGTTATATTTTTATCATTGCTAACTAACTGGGTGAATGATATGACTTCTAATTAATTCAATTAAATTCTTGAATATTCATAAGCTGACACATGGAAGTAGTATACTTTTATGAATATTCATAAGCTGATGATAAACCTATGCATCTGCCAAAAAGTAAAAACTACATTGCATAAACTTGCCAATCTCAATAATTTCACACTGAAGATATTCAACACTACATAAAAAGCAGATGAACGTACCAATCTATCAGATGCGAATATATCATACACAATACGGCAGTACTCAAATGCTGCCTCTACTGCACAGGTCCAAAGTGACTTGTAAAATGGATCAATTGGAATATTTGAAACTCCCGACCGAGATTTGCTGATCATGTCGTATTCTATCTTGTGACCGCAAGGCTTGCCAAAAAACGGACTGTGATCAATGACGATCACCGTTTTATGTGAAGCGGGAAACATTCTAAAAATATATCAGGAAATATACATACATAATTGCCCCATGTGGGATGAATAAAGATTATTGTTTGATTGATTGTAGTTTGTACTGTATTTTGATTTAAAAATTGACATTGCAATGACTGAGCAATTTACTATTATAAATATTAAACTTATTAGTAATTACTAAAAAGATTACTAAGTTTGATCCATAATCAACATCCTTATTAACACCAATTTAACCATGCCTACCTTCCTGGTAGGCCAAGGGAGGATAATAAAATTTAAAAAAAAAAGATGAATTGCTCTATCTAGGCCTAGACCTATGTGGGTATATATGCCTAGGCCTACTACATCTAAAATAATTACACAACTTTATATGAAAACAAAAATATTGACGATCAACTGAAGGACTGCGAGATATCTGGACATGCATAATGTTTAGCTTGTGTAATTTTCCTTTATAGGTCTAGCCTAAGTAACTAACATTAACAACAGGCTAGGCCATAGCTAGGTTTACATACAATGATATTGAGTGGCACGGCAAATTATGCTGTGTCGACCCTTGCTTACTTTACTTTCTTGTTGATTGATGCACTGTTCGCCTAGCCTACGATTTTGTTCGTTGCTCTACCGCTCCATTTGTACAGTTCAGCTACAATTCCATATCCTCGATGTTAAACTGACAAAAGGACGGCCCTGAAATTAATTAATGTTGATATCAATTAGAATTAGACTAATATTTAATACAAATTTTCAAGACGAAAGCTAGCCCTAACTGCTCTGGTGAGACATAAACAATCAATGAAGCGTGAACTGTCGAGCGCCATCTATAGTTTCTGTTATCCACACATAGCAACTTGTGGACTGGACGTAAACAACATTGCTTTTTTTAATCATATTTTTAATTTTGCAAAACAAACATGGACAATCCAAGGGAAATCGAATCTAAAGAGTATCTAGAAAAACACAAAATTCTAGAGTTATTCGACAATATCACTGCAAGTCTCGTTTTCCAAAGACCAGGTAAGTTTTAGGCTAGGCCTGGGCGCTAGGTAGGCTTCGATCACAAAAAGGTGAGTAGGGAAGTTCAATGGGACTCGGTAGAGATGTCACTGTACATTAATTTTACTGGTTCCTAGTTAAGTTAGGCCTAGATCATGCAGTGTTACTACTCGTACATACTGACGTTACAATCTTCAAAAAATTAGAAAACATTCACTATTTTACAGCCCATTCAAATGCTTCGAGGTTTATCCCTTTGAAGTTTTGTTGAGGATTTATCTTGTTTCTTCCTTTTTTTAAAATAAATTTTATATATAAAAATAATTATAAACTAAAAAGTTTATTTTGTTTTACCGAATTTGCCGTAAAGAAAGTTTGAAATTGCTCCAAACCGTCACTGACTACAGCAACAAGATGTTTTTTTTTCAGAAAATCCAAAGGAATTTATGATTCAAGAAATAAAACAAATGAAAGAAGCAAGAACAGCACAGACGGACTACCCTTGTTTATTTGATGATAGCAACATTCTTTCTGTCTATGGGATGCTTGATCCAACGAAAAAGGGCTTCATCAGTCTTACACAATATAAAGAAGGTGTGTGTACTGTATAATGCTCAATATAGATTTAGTAATTGTGGCAAAGACAAGCCAAACCAGTCACTCCTCGCAAAAATAATGTATAGTTATTAATACAGGGTTAAACAGTGAGAGCTATAAAATGGTAAAAGAATGATTTAAATCTGACATTTTGTTATGAAGTTAGAGAAGTTTAAACATACATGCAGTTTAAATAACAATATTTGAGAAATCAGCCTTCAAAGTTTATGATTTTGGAAATTTCTCAGGCAGAAACCATTAGCAAATCATTAAAAATTGTTTTTTTTACATTGAAAATGGGGAAAATAACAGCATAGAACAGGATTTTCGATGAGTGACTGGTTTGGCTTGTCTTTGCCACAATTGGTTGGTTGACATTTGACATTTAAACAAAACTGTCTTCTTTTTCTTATCTTTTGTTCGATATCGTAAGTTAAGAATGTTATTCTTTAAAAAAAAATTCTTTAACATTTAAACAGTGTATTGATATATTAACTTATGAGTATTGCCTTATGATTTGAATAATCTATTTTTCTCCAGCATTGACTGCAATGGGCTGCAAAGACTTTGATACATGTCCAGGTGGGATGGAGATGGATCGGATCTCTCAAGACACTTTTACTAGGGAAGCGTAAGTGAAGGCTTTCTAAAAATACTAATCCTTGAACAGACCAAAAAGCAGTAGCACTGAGGAGGAGGGGGTTGAAAGGGCCCACAACCCATATAAGCACAGGCAACTAGGGTGAAAAGAAAGATAAAAAAAGGAGTGATAAAAACGGCCAGAGCTCCTGCCAAAGATTTTTTCAAAACCAATGTTCATGCAGAAGCATCACTATCAAGATTTGCAGAAAAGGTGTCAGGTCTCTCGGCAGTGAAGCTGAATGTGCGCTGTAGAGTTCTTATTAAAATCGAAAAATCAAATTATTCCATTTAGATGATGCCATTCCAACAATTGTTGCTTGTGGCGCAGTAGACTATATGTTGCACTTTTCAATAACTTTCTCCTCCCCTGAGGGTCCACACTTTCATATGTCCACGTCAGAAGCCGAGTGGACTAGTACACCGGGGTAACCCCCTACTCTTCTCAAAAGATTCACTGGGTTCTTGAAATTGCACATGAACATCTGTGTACACTGGGCCTACAGTTTATAGTCCCTATCCGAGAAGACTTGTTCCACCACCAGAACTAGGCCGCGACCCCATGCCGGTATATTGTTGGCTATGGTTACAGTGCCCCACCCTTAACCGCTCAGCCATTAGATTTGCAATATCCTTGTACAATTTTGATATTGCTGTTTTGGAAGCAAATTACTCCTTTAAACTTAAAGCTTCTATTTTGTAGGACCAAGACCTGGTATCAAACCTACCGAGTCTCACAAATTTGGCGTGAGGCTCAAGCATTTGTGGTCTGTCTCGCGCGTAACGACCAAAATCTCAGGCATAAATTTAATTGTAAAATATATGTATACTATTTGTGACTTTTTTAGCATTCTTCTTAAAAAAAATTCTCCATTTACAGTACTTAAAATATCATAGTAGCATCATGAATACCAACTAGATCCACAAACAGTGTCAATGTGTAAAAAGTGCTGTCGGATAAGATCAGTTTCTCGGTGGAGCGGGAGGGGATCGAGTCTCTTACACCAAGGTTGTGGAATTTCCAAAAGTCTCACTTCTGCAAATTTGTCTAACTTGAAATTTGTAGTATTTTGGAGTAGTGTTCTTTTAATAAATCTATAGTTTTATACTATATTGGGTTGATCTGAATTTTAAAGATTACTTTCTTTTTTCTTCTAGAAAAATGGGATTGAAAAGAGCATCAGAAACAGTTGGTCCTCTGTAGGATGATGAAGGAAACGTGTGGATGGACATATACAGCAGAGATAACAAGCAGCAACAGAGACAAACAAGTGAAGCACCCCAAAATAATACTACAGTATTGCAAAGCTATTTTACTGTCGGTGTTGAGCCAATAAATTTTAATATAATATTGATATTAAGAATTTGAATTGCTCTTTGTGTATATTTATGTAACATATTAAGCTCTGTCAAGGTTATCAAAATTTCTTTGACAAAAATTTGCTGTATGCCCATATATAGTCATAACATGCTTATATGGTCATGATGTGATGTCATCATGACCATATTTAGGCATGTCACATTTTTTGTCAAATGGAATGTGATAGCCCAGACAGTGCTTTAATTTTCAATTGAAAATTGAAATGTGAAAATTTATTTTGGCAATTAGCAAATATTGTTCCAATATTCTTTGTGTAGGTCCTTGTTGTCATCATCATTATCATCATTACCATCATCATTATCATTATCATCAATTTATTATTACCATAGTCATTATCATTCATCATCAAAATCATCATTATCACTATCATCAATTCATCATCATTATTATTATCAATTTAGCATTGACATATTTATCATTATCACTCATCATAATCATCATTATTATTATCATCAATTCATCATCATTATTATCAATTCATAATTGCCATAGTCATCATTATTCATTATCATTCACCATCATCACCACCATCATAACCATTTTCAACACACTACATGTTGAAGGCCTTTCAAAAATGTCACCGTTAGTGGCAATTTTTGTCCTTTCCTTGTTAAGGACTTTAATAGCAAAAAGTCTGTAGATAGCAAAAAATAAATTGTTTTGATATGCCTCTCATTGGAAGTTTAATTAATGCGCAATTCAATGTTTTAATTGATTTTTAATGGGTTTTCCAAATGTTGCCATAGACATTGTATAATATTTACCATACAATTGAAGAACTTGTAAAAATATAAAGAATACAAGTCGTACCGGTATGTTCTTAGAATTTTAAAGGAAAATTACAACACCAGAAGGGAACAGATTAAGGTATATTTATTTTGTTTTTATTTATTACGTTATTTATTAAGTATAAAATAAATGTTTAATTGACTTGAGGTATTTTAAAATTTGAGTTTATGTTTATTAATTTTCAGAAAACGAATACCTGTACCAGATTATTAACAAATTTGATTCTATACTTCCACATATACCTGTGATTACATTAATACATTATTGTAAATTGAGAAGGAGTTGTAAATTTTATTTGTAAATAAAACATTCAAGACTCACACATGATTATGTTGCCTCATTTTTCTTGTTCATTAACATCTTATACACCTTTGAATGTGAACCTAATACGTACATACTTCTCTAGACATTTGCATATCATCGCTCATTAGATTAATAAGAGATTTCCACATGAAACTTGTAACAGAAGAGCCATAATTATCATGCAATACACATAATATCAGTGATAAGATAGTAGAAAATATGCAACGTAAAATGAAAATTCATTTCATTTTCTGTCTGTCATTTATGGTTGGATTCAACTTTAATGTCTAATAAATAATAATGGTTTTGTAATATTTTTGCTGTAGTTTATAAGGGTAAGCGTTGAATGGTGTCATGAACAATTATGTCCCAGTTGTAAATCATCAGTATTAATATTCAAATTTTTGGATAGTTTTATAAGTCATTATGATGCTGCTGTCACGAGGAATTTTACTGCTGCCAGATGGGTAAACTATATAATGTACAAGTCGTGGATATTATCGCATTATGCATGATGTTATAATTAATGTACAGGAGATACATTTCGCAATGCAATATACAGTGATAGAAACAAGATAGTAACAATTAGAATTCCTATAGGAACTCTAGCAACAATTTGTGTATGCCGCCCTCTATTTTGGCGATTAGCAGGCCGCGCGACCGGTGTTGTTTTGTTCGCGCTGTGCGGTGACAGGCAGGTAAAAAGCCAAGATTGTGTGCTGTTTACCAACTCCAAAATACGAATTATTTTACTTTATTGTAGTGGTTACAGAAGTCTAACCTGAGTGAATGCAATCGGTAAGAAATTAACCGGCATATTTAGTGTATTTTTGCTTAATACGGAAATTTTAGTGAGATGATGCTGGATCGGAGTCGATAACATGTTCATCCACACCATTATTCACATGCGAAAACCTTTGCACTGATGAAATTTTTACTTTTAAGTTAATGTGTTATGTTAATATATTCAGATTCTAGAAATTCTTGGAAATAGATTAGGCCTAGGGCCTAGTTGTATATAGGCCTAGGCCCTATTTATTATTTTCACCGTCATTTAACCCATTCAGCTTCTCAAACCAATAATAATAATAATAATAGAATGAAGCTAGGCTAAACCTGGACCTGGTATCCTTGCATCACATCATCATGCCTAGCCTGTGTAGGCCCAACCACATGCGTACAGTGTGTAGGCCAAGGCTATGGCACATGTTTAGCATGAATATAGGCCTGGTATGTGTCTATGCCCCTATGTTTACTTTGGCCTACATAATCATTTTGAGTCAATGACCATCATCCAACTAAGCCATAGACCTAGCCTGCCTAGGCCTACCGCACTTTTCGGAGCCATCATCAGTCGATTGTCAGTAAAGTGGCGGTAGCATGCACGTACCTTTTAATCGTATCGCATTCGCTGTGGAATTAAATCTGCAAACAACCATTGAAATAACGTCTGCTTGGCTTAAGTACGGCTTCGAATCTACATCATAACATACAAAGTCCGCAACCAGTTTCTTCTAAGGGGTGGGGGGTTCTCTTGGCGTGAGGTCCAGGGACGAATCCCTGTCTGGTCAGTAAAACCACAAAAGCCAGAGGATTTTGTGTTTTATTTATGTGTCTAAATAATGCTAATTATAAAAGCAGTAATGTTTGAAAAAGTTCTAAATGGTTCCTCAGTGCATTAGTTGTTTTTGAGGACTCGTTTGGGAAATTTGATGAGGGGGGGGGGGGGCTTCGCCNNGAAATGAGAGCGGGGGGTTTGGCCGAACCATAAAAATTCCTACTGGCTACGGCCTGGTCGTACAAAGTCCTGTTCAGCTAGATGTTGAATGAAACAAAGCTAGGCCTAATTACTATATTACTAAAAAAAGAACCATGTCTCCGACTGCCAGATTTTTCTAGCCCCGACCATGTAAATAAATGTATCATACTTTTCAGAAAATTACACAATATGTTGATATTTTTGTTATGAATCATAATCTGTAATCTTCGTCTAATATAATGTCATCTAAAATTTGCTTTGAATGTACTGTAATGTTTATAGTTACCAACCATCTCTCATGTGAGATGATCTCCAATTCAAAGTCATTTATTATCAAACACTATGCCTGTTTATCAATTTATCACACATCCATTAAACAAGTTCTCGTAATATTGAAAGCTCAGATGAGGGCAGTATAATAAATAGAGGCAGTAGATCTAAAAATGATCTATTAATCAATCAGCCTCATGAGGGCAGTATAATAGAGGCAGTAGAACTAAAAAAAATCTATTTATCAGCTATTAATCAATCAGCCTCACGAGGGCAGTATAATAGATCTATTAATCAATCAACTATAGAGTACCACAGTCATGTCGTCACAGCACCAGGTGGCGCCCTCTGGACTTGTTTCCGTTCATTACGCCTGAATGACTTCTTAATCTTAAAGGTTTAGAATAGGCTTTCTGGAATTGGCATTTTAAAACCTAATAATTTACCATCAAAATTTACTAAAAACACAAAAAGCTCGCATTATATTAGCTATCGAACACACATTTAATCATCAATTAACATTTACAAAGAAAACTTAAGATACAAATTCTTAATAATTACTTTAGAATTTGGGATCAGTGGTTTGTCAGTGAAGAAAATGGCGTTAGTTGAACGCATTTCATGTCGCCATCGTGACGTAGCAATTTGGTAATCAGCCAAACGTTTGTAGAGCTCCTTGTTGGAGCTAAAAATTTTAATTTAAGAATTTATAATAGTTTAATAAAAAAAATTGACATTTGACGGTGAAAGGTCTGGATGACCTTTTACCCATTCAAATTCTCCAAGGTTGGTAGCTATCTATAGTGATAAATCTATTCAAACTTACTGTACATTTTTTGTTGAGCCAACAAAAAAAAACTTTCCGAATTATTTTTAATACAATATTACTAGATGAATAACATACATTCATTAAATATATAAATCTAAAAAATTTCACTATTTCTAATAATAAAATTTAGTGAAAAGCAGTTAATTTCCCTGTTCTAGTTTTCAGTGTGAGGATTTTTTTTATGGTTATTGGTTTATTTTATTTCATCATTTTTTTACTCTTTATCCGTGTGATAATAAGTTCCAGCTGTTGTTTGCCTTTTAAGTTTTCTGCTTCGTTGCTCACTGTACCTTTTGATTCTTTGCTTAACATGTTCACAATTTTTTAGCTGTAGACGATTACATTAACACGTAGCTTTCAATTTGGTTTTTGTTTGATTTCCTTTGATTTTTTGTGCTCTGTTAGGCCCGAGTTAACGTTAACTGTCAGTGTCAGGATGCTTAAAAATCCTAATAAATCCATTGAAATACACGTTTTGTGATAGAAATATCATCAACAACAAAGGCACTCTTTAAAGATAAATATTTGGAAGTTTGCTGATTTGTAATTTATAGAATATATTAGCTTTGTCTGATTGAGTCACTGTTGGTACCATTTACATCTCAAAATTTGTTAAACATATAAACAATCAAAAAACCTTTTTTTTTTGTATACTGTACAAACTTGTTTATAATGTAGCAATACATAAGTGTTGAATTTACGATGTGCTATGTTAGCTCTGGGATTATGCTTCACAAAAGCTTGTCAAGTATATTATTGAATGTTTTGCTAAAATATGCCCTTGGTTAATAATGATGACCTTTTAGATTTGGATTGTTGGTTTTTGTTGGATTTAGAGTCAAACAACCAAAACGGTTGCCAAGTTTGCACTGGAGCATCACTGTTGCTAAGAAAAATGTGAGCTGTCGTGACAAAATGAGTCTTGTGGAACGCCAGGTCAATTTGATATTCAAGAAAATATATTATTTGAAGTGATTTTTTGACAAAAAATGGGTTTCATTTTTCTGGGAAATTTAGTATGTACTGTATATTTCATAGTAGCAAAAGTTCCGAGTTGAGTACCTAAGGTAATCATGTTTTTGAGGCACATTTTTAAAGCTATTTTTCAGAATTTATAGGAAAACCAACACAAAATTTATCATTTGTATATCTTTAGAGGTGATTTTTTAAGTATGCTTTTAGACATCCAAACTTTAAAATGATCTTACTCCGGTTTTACTCAACCTAAGAAAATGATTCAAAGGCCAAAATAAAGCATATTCATCTATCTAAATATATCAATAACTCATTTTTCATTTTTCTTACCACAAGACTCATTTTGTCACTGACAGCTCATAAATGTGGTATGTCTTCCTATCAAAGTGTACTACCCTAGGGAGAGGAATTGGTAATGTTCATGGGTCGATATTTCTAATCAGACTAAATGCATTGGAGC